AAAACTCCCGCAGGCCTTTCCCCGGGGCGACTCAGGGGCCTTTTACCAGCAGTTGCCGCCCTGCCTTGACTGCCTGGGTGAATCAGGTGCTAATTGAGCCTTGGTCGTGGCGGCTTCCCTGCCTGGGTTTTCTGAGTGCGACCGATTTAGGCCCGGTGGGGGGATTCCTACGGCCCTGCCCCACCCACGAAGACCGAGAAGGCTCACCCCGTGGAGAAAGGTGGGCTCGGTGACTCATCTCTGGGATGACCTGACCCCCCTACCCTGGCGGAGCTGATGTCTGGGTCTCAGACCACATACCCTGGCTTGGGACGTCTAGTGTGTCCCCTCTTCACGTTGTAAGCTGGCTCTAGTAGGTGCATGGGTGTGTTGATATAACTGCTTCTGGAAAGCCCCTGTCCTTGCTAAGCAACAAGGTAACGTCTGCACTGTGATTCAGTGGAGTGGAATACTTTATAACCTACCAGAACTGTGTAAATATTCTGTCACCCTTTCTAAACTCCTAGCTTCTTCCCTGCGGACAGAATCCTTGAACTAGGGGTTTCTCTGTTTCTTTTTTATATTCTCAGCAATGCCCTGCACATAGTGGGCGCTTGATAACTATTTATTAAATAAACAAATGCATCATTCCAATACAGCTGGGCTCACCCCTGATGACTTCATTGTATCTGCTCCTCCTTCCTCCCAGAGTTACAGCCACACCCGCATTCTGTGTGTCCCTGGGACACGCCACCTTGGTCGCTTGATCACTTGATCACGCACTTGAGTCTTCGCATGGGCTGTGCTCTCTACCCAGCCAGCTCAATCCCAAGCTTTCACAAAACTGGCTCTTCTCTTTGAGGTCTCAGCCCACATACCACCTCCTCAAAGAGGCTTTTCCTGACCACCCAGTCTAAAGGAGATCCTCCAGGCACGATCGTATTACCCGCCCATTTTTTCTTCATAGCACTTGACTTGAATGGACATTATCATATTTATCAGCTTACTTTTTACTGTCTCACTGGAAAGCAACCTACAGGACCTTGTCTGTCTTATGCACTGCTACAGCCACATGGCCAAGGACAGTGCCTGGCACAAAATAGGTGTTCAGTAAATACTTGTTGAATAAATTAACGAATTCCAGAGGGCTGAGAAAACAGTAGTGAGGTTCTGAGGAATACTGATATTTTGAAAAGAACTTGCAGACTCCTTCTGTTCCTTCCAACCACCTTCACGTCCTCTTTTCCCTCCTGCTTCCCAGTCCCCTGGACCAACCAACTCCTCCTCCTCTGCTCCGCACTGTCATCACCTTTACTGCCTTCCTGCTTATGACACAGCATGGTTAGTGGACTGCCTGGGGACTCCCAAGACCAACCTCTGTCTCTAAGTCTCAGAGTGACACTGGGCAAGAAGACCAACATTTCTGAACCACTCTTCTCCTCCTTGAAATGAGATCGTGGACTGTTCATCTTCGAAGCTCCTGTCCCACCATCAGTGAGTGACTTTTATTTCCCTGCTCTCCTTGTGCTGTTGTTGCTTCCAGGAGTCAGACGAACTGTGGAAAAGTGACCAACTCGTAAGTTAGTATTTGCCCATGCATGACGGATACATACTCAGTTTTTCTGCTGCCATCCATTTGGAACATTTCCTTTCTTTTATTTGTTTCTTATAAACTTAATTTTCTAGCTGAGATCATCTGCTTAACAATCTCTCCTGAACTCAGACCAGCCACAGCTGTCTCCTGAGTCAAGATCGGCACTGTGGCCTACACACAGTAAGGCCTACGAGAACCACGTGCCCAGAGCTCATTTCAAATTCCGCTTGTTGGTTAAATGAGAAAAGGTGAGACTATTAGCACCAGAAGTCGGAAGAGTCAGATATAAATTTTTTTCGTGTGTGTGCACGCGCACCAGGGAAACTCCCCTTGAGACGCTCTATCTTCCTCCCCTCCTCCCACCCCGTCCTTGAACCTAACCGCACCTCTCTGCATCATGACACAAAAATTACGTCTGTCGTGTCTTGCCTTCTATGACTAAAGGAAAGGGAAAGAGGAAGCCTGGCCCATTTGGACGGGTCCTGGTTTTCTCTTTTCACGTCCACAGCACCACCTCAGGGGTGTTTCCGGTTCTGCTCATGCTGGACAGGGGCCTGCTCGCTCCCAAGCTCCTTCCGGTCTTCCTTCTTTTTGCTTTAAAGCTCCTGATTACGGGGAGAAGGGGAGGAAGAAGACGCCTGGACAAGGCTGGCGTGTTTCCCTTGTGTTCCCTCTTACTCGCAGAATTGCTGAGCATCACAAGCTGGTGGGATTTCACTCCGTGTGAGATCTTTACTCCCAAGACTTTCCTTCCTGCTGTTTTCCCGTTTCTCAGCACGGCCAACACCACAAAATCTGGCAGCAGCTGCCAAACAAAGCTTTCATATGTGCGGGGTGAGGCACGGTCACTAGCCACGTGGGCCAGCTGGGACCCCGCACGTGTGGTTGAGGGTGGCCAGTTAGTGCTGTGCTTGACGAGTGGTAACTGTGACCTTTAGGGTGGGCGTGTGTGAAAGCCCACGAGAAGTGCCGCCATTTGAGCCGGTGAAGTCATTGGGGGTGTCACCGACAATTCAGGGAACTGAGAGAAACCTCGGCCCAAGTGGGATTAGTTAAGTGATCTTCCTCGACCTTTTGAACATACTGTCATCCAGAGTGTCTCAGCTTCAGAACTGCTGACGCCTGGGACTAGATTCATCTGTCTGTCTACTAAGCTGCGAGGCCTTCCTGCGCGTTGCAGGGTGTTTGCAGTGTCCCGGCTCCCACTGCTCCACGCCGGTGGCACCCCTCAGTCATGACAATCACAGATGCCTCCAGCCTTCAGACAGCGAGTAAGTGCACCTCTTGCCGCTGTCATTCGGGCAGTGGGGCCGCAGGGATGAGATCTTTTAGGGTGTCACTCTCTGCCTCTGCCTCTCTCACTGATACCAGTTAAAGCCACACAAATACGTGGTGCTGGCCTCCGCAGAATTCCCAGGCCACACTGTCCCGTGGCAACAAACAAAGAACACGAGGCCCAGATGAAGAGCTAATCTAGCCAAAGCGTGACTGAAAGAAAAAGAGAGCTAGAAACTAACGAATTGTGAAAAGAAGAAAAATGGTGGCGTCTGTAACTACTGAAGCAAGAGCACAAGACGTTTTCTCTGCTTCTCCAGAACTGTCCAGAAGGAGAGTGGGGTCCCGCTGACTGCCTGCGGCCTGACCATGAGGATGTGCCCTTCAGTGACATCAGCCTTTGAAAGGCCACCGATTTCCAGCTCTCCAAGCAGTCTTCTGATTTTGAACTTGGTTTCCTCCTTCCACTTAAGAGGTTTGGGGAACTCAGGTCTCAGAGCACAGGCATCCAGAGAGTGTGCGTCAGGGGAGCAGCAAGAAGAGTGAATACCTAGGTTGGTGAGCAGGGCCGAGAGACGTGGTGGAGTCAGCACGCTGTGTTGACATGTGGAGTTCCCAGAGGGGCTGGCAGAGGCAAGGCCCGTTGTGGAGGACGAGCTCCCAGGCAGATTACAGCGCAGAGTGTCAGGCAGAGGGGGCAAAAGATAGAGCCCTGGTTCCTAAAGTTTGGGGGAAGGTGACACTGTTGTCAGCCTACAGGTCCTAACACGTATGCCTGTATACTGTAGGCGCTCCTAGTTTCCAAAATTGTGAGCTTCCTGAGGGCAAGGACAAGTTGTAGTCAGTATTAGCACCCAGCACCTACAATAGTTCCTCCTTTGTGGGGAAACATTCAGATGTTTGTTGACGGAGGAGAGAAAACACAACTGGGAGATTGTTGCCCTTAACCAGATGTGAGGGTTACAAATAATTCATCCTTTTAGATGCCAGACACTCTGCCAATGCTGCATCTGCCTAGCCCACCTTTTCCAGAGCAAGGCAGTTTCCACGTGGGATGGCTGTGATCCGGGAATGAGCAAAGTCCTACTGCGCTCTGGTGAGAGAGAGAGAGAGAGAGAGAGACAGAGCCAGGGAGACGGAGACACTCAGGCCGACAGAGGCTGCACACAGCGCTCCGTGCACGGCCGCCCTCTTCCTCCGGACGTGCAGCTGGCGGTGTGGTGGGCAGAGCCCCACACTTTCTGTACTTGACATCATGTTGTCCCTTGAGCTTTGGCTGGGAAACCATTCTTGGTTTATGAACACTATCTTGCAGGTTGGCTGAAACGGTTTGGCTCCACCTGTGACGTCTCTGCCAAGGAAGGTCCACTTGAGACAACAGACAGGCCCTTTGAAATGTCTCGTGGTAGATGACCCCAGCCCCAAACAGCTGACGAGATCGGTGTATTTGGGTAGAATAACTGTCTTTCTCTGTGTTTAACAGGACTAGTGTAAGAGGCAACGTGGCCGTGACCTCCTCCCTGACTTGCCCGGGCTCAGAGGGGCACACCCTGTGCGTCACTGTGCTCACGGGCT